CATATATTTAGCAGGAAAATTTGAAACAGTTCTAATTAGGCTGAAAAAAACAGCTTTCTTCAATGTAAATTACAAAGGTCATATATCAATGTTAAGGAAACATTACCACTAGTGTTTGAAATCCAGCACATGCAAACATAACAGACCAGTTCATTTTAAATCCGTGTGTATGTGTGTGTGTGTGTGTGTGTGTGTGTGTGTGTAGATGGCTGTATTGCATGTATTTGAAATGAAAAATACTTAAAATTCCGAATCTGTAAATGTTGTATATTACATTCTTGCCAATCCAAACATTAACTCTTCAAACATACTACTATCGATACTCAAATGAATTAAGACTCTTAATTATAAGTACCATTAAAAATTTACAGAACAAATTTTGATTCTTCCAATAAAAATATGATTAAATGTATCTTATAATTAAATGTATACCAACTCAAGAGGATTAGTCAATGATTTCTTCTTTTCTTTTTATTTTCTCTTATTTCTGTATGAAATTTGTAGCTGTAGCATTTTGTGTCTCAGAACTGAGTTGGGCCTCCTGGAAGCCTGGGAATGGAGGTAGTAGCATAAGTGTGCAGAAATGTGTATCTAGGCTGCACAGACCTATTTCCTGCTGGTTATATAATTATTTCTATACTTAAAAACTTGTAAATAATATTTGCTCTTTTTATTTGATTTTTTAAAATCATTTATCCTGTAGCTATCAGTAGCTTTTATTTAGTTGCTTTTTAAAAGTGGTATGGTATGAGAACATTTAGCAAAAATATAAATATTAGCATTAATCTGGGAATTACAAGTATGAGAAACACAAGTAATATACAAGTAAGGTTTCTTGGTCTTGAAGTAAACAATTATCTAATAACTTCTTTTGTTAAGAAATTGGTTTTCTTGATTTTATGCAATATTTACATTACAGAAAATTTGATTGTTTGAAAATAAAAAATTTCTGAGTATCTCATAGGCATGCATAGATTAATTAAACGCACGATTAATGCCTTTTATTTTAGAATCCTTATTCTCTAGTAGCTTAGAATTTCTTAGAAAAAGCAAACTATTCCTACATAAGTTATATTATTTGATGCCGCTAAGGGAAACAAGAATAATTTTATATAACATTTTATATCAATAAATAATTCATATCCTTAATAGGTTAGTTTCATGAAAACATAGATTACATTCTTTCAGTGAGATTGTTAGACACATATTCATATATGTTATAATTATTTCTGACACAGGGTTATACAAATGAGTTATTTATGAATAATTTACTATTATCTTTATAATATTAAAGCTTTAATTTGTTGGTGTTCTGCATGAGTACCAAATGAAAGTTACTAATAAGTGTTTGTATTTGACATCTGTATACTGTACTTTTTAGCATATCTCAAGTGTTTTAGTCCCTGTTTAATAGATCTCATTAAAAAAAACAGATATCAGCCCCCAGACAGTTTGTCAAGACTAATATGAGTCCCCCTGGATTGGATTGACAATTTATGTGAGGCTTCGTATGATAGTCTTTTCATAGTCTTATTTGATCCTTAGCAATTGGACATTAGTCACTGATTTATTTTATCATAAGTCAGATGAGTTGAATATTATTGTATTGTGCTGGACATTCTAGTGGATTTTCTTGTTTACAAATTTTACTCAGAGCACACATTGGATGTAAATGATGTGCCCAGCCTGCTAGGGGAGCACTAACGATTGATTGGTTAGGTTTGAGAGCAGCATGGGAAGAATGTTACTATCCCCTAGCTGCACACCGTATTTAACTCCAGCCTTAATGAGCACTGTCTGTCCTACAGGCTTTGAAAAATCTCAAATGCTTAGCATTCCACTGGCCTGTTTTTATTTATTTTTCGGCGACTAAAAATGTGGTTATAAATAAGTATTGTATATAAAGAGTATTTTTTAAAATCTTAACATATAAAAAGGGATTTAAAGAATTTTTAATATAAGTTTTATGGTTTATGTTTTTGAATCTCAAGAACAGGAGTTATAAAATGGAATCCCAGGGTATTTCATTTGAATTATTTGTTTTTTCCCCTCAATAATTTCCCCCTGCTTGTCTTTACCTCTTCCCTCAAGTCCTGAGTAAGTGCATTTGTTTATTATTATATCCCCCTGGTTAGGCAGTTGTCATTCACCGATATCAAAAGGATGTTAAAGTCCTGAGCTGACTTTGTGCTGAAATGTGCTAAAACTTTTTGGAATTCTCTTCTAATCCATAGCAGTTGTTTCTTTGGGTCCCTGTTTAAAGCTTTGGTGTATTGCAAGAAATCCTTAAAGACCACTAATGAGATTTTTAGTTTCATTTTTAAACTTTTATTTAAAATGTATTCATGAAAGTGACATGTTTATCAACCTCTGGAAAAAAAATGTCCATGAATTACTGGCCAACCCCTTAAGGATTGACCATTATGGCAGGTAAGGGGAGGGCCAGACTGTAGCACTGCGGTCATATGTGGATGTATGTTTAAATTCAGCATTTTTGCTTCACATTCTAGTGTGGTGTCAAGAAATAAAGGTTTAAGCATCTAAACCTAACCAACTTCACCAATGTGAATGTGCATACGGAAGTAGTCGACCTTAGGAAAATTCACAATTCTTTGTTTGATGACACATAAAATAAAATTGCCCTAGTTTTTAGGGCCTTAATATTGAGAAAATTCATTTGTACTTCGTCATTTGCTGAGCCTTCTAGAATTTTATAGTCTCAAATCACAGCACCACGGACACTCAGGAGACTCCTCACTGTTTTATCTTATTAAACAATTTTGAAATCATTAATTTTTAATTAGCTTGGATGCAGAGTTTTTTTATTGTTTCAATAGTGTGTGTATATGAACTAAATGTTTTTTATTTCTACTACTGGCGAGAGTATTATTTACATAAATAAGTGTGGGTCCTTTCTGAGAGCATCATACTGTGAGTTTGCTTCATCTAGTCACACTTTTTTTTGTAGACTCAGAGATATCACATGCTAATCTATTAAGTAGGGCTTTTCAGCAGTTTATTGATGCAGAATTTGAACAACTAAAAAGGATGTAAGCTCGAAGATATGTATAAGTCCTTCCTTGATTGAAAGTTCTAATTAAGTGAATTGGAGAAAATTAACTGAAATTAGCTGTCAGAAAGTCACATTTAAATGAGTGATGAGCTAGTCTGGCAGTAAACATTTAAATGATATAAATTGCCATTTAAGTGTATGGTTTAATGTTTGTCATGCATTAATGTGACATGAGACTGCAGTGACAATCAAGCAGCTTGCTCTAATTTGAACATATTTAGGGCTTTTGTGTGGAGTGCACTGCACACAAATTAAGACAATTGCTGTTTTTATGTGTCAGTTTAAACATGTCCCCCACCCCACCCCATCCCTACCCAAGGCCTAAGTTAATGAAACAAACCTATCATTTTGGGGTGCAAATTGCATTAGTAGTTTCTGGATTATTTGGGTTGATTTTAAACCCGTGTACTTAAGATAGGAATTTGTTTAAAGTTATTACAAGCCCTTCTCTTCTTATGTCCAATAAAATATGAAGTAGTTTACTAAATTTATAACTATAATGAGTTTTATAAGAGATGTCTAAAATAGTATCTTTCACAATGGAAACTAGCTAAATACTATTTAGGTGTATTTCATTTCAGGTATACTTTGGAATAGGAGAATTAACTAGAGTTTTATTTACAGAATTATTGTTTTACATTTTATTGTATGTCATATTGTGTATGTTATATTGTGAAGCCATGTTAAATATTATTTAAGGAAATATATTTGAATTAAGCCATAAACATCTTTCTTATCTATAGGCATTTATTTCAGTAAAGCATACATTTATACAAGTGTACACCTGTGAACTAATAGGAACTTCTTTTGTCACAAGATGGTTGGTATCTTATTGGTTGCTTGCCATAGAAGTTAGTCAATTTTGTTTTAAAACCAACAGATTTCTTTTTATAATATTGATAACATAGCAGCAAGTCACACAAAAATTATAGCACAGCCATACACTTATTACTCTAAAAAATAAGAATTTCAATGAGATACATTACCTGATGTAACTTGGTATACTTCAAATTAAGCTTCAGAGTTTGAATTTGAGAGATCCCTAATTTGAATCACATTATTTATGGATAAACTAGTCCATAATACTAAACTTTCATATTGGAATAATTTTGAACACTAATAAGTGATATAAATAAGAATACTTATCTAAAAAATAAGTCTCCGATTTTTAAAAGCTTTATTTTTCATAGCGCTATTAAATTCAGTAAGCATTTGTTGGTACCTATTGTGCTTTAGGTACAATGCCAGTAACTGGGGATTTAATGATGAACGGGAAGTGGATCCTGTGCCCAGCGTTTCCACTGAACATTTGATTATGTTCATTCATTATTCATTGGACACTGTTATGTTAATAGCATCAAATATTTGGATTCGTTTGGTATTAATACCTAGGATAATAATTCAGTCATAAGTATCCCTCCCAAGATCTAATTTGTTGGCATAAAAACTCAGTTGAAATAACTGAATAGTTCGGTTACGGTTGTTGCAGTAAACAACAAAATGTTTAGATGTAGGAAAATTATAAATATTTCAAGCAGATAATAAATGTTTGTTTTCACATTTGCTGTCCCACAGTAGCCTTTAACATTGTAGGACCTGCTTTCTTTAAAGCATAAATTGAGTACCCATCAGGCCTTAGTTACAAGTGCGACCAAGACAGAGCCAGTCCTTGACCTCACCGTTCTTTCATACGGACAGTATGGTAGAATAATACTGAACCATTAGCAGTCCGTTACAATCGGCGTGATAAGTGCTGGAAAGTCTCTAATTATAAATAAAGGAAAACAGATTCTGATGGAAAATAGGCCATTTGAATAAGTCTGTTCACAGTAAATTTAGTGTTAATCTTTACCGCTTGTTCTACATTTCTCTACATATTTTATAAATAGAGTTCAACATAATAATATCACCTATGTCCTTTTATCAGGCCCTGGAGAGTGAATTTGTTTCCTGCCAGCTTCACCAATGGATTGATCTCATTTTTGGCTACAAACAGCAAGGACCAGAGGCTGTTCGATCCCTCAATGTGTTCTATTACCTGACCTATGAAGGAGCTGTCAACCTGAATTCAATAACTGATCCTGTATTGAGAGAGGTAAGTTATCTGATCTGGGTCTAACAGGTATCTTTAGACTGAAAGGTACTAGATATCATCTCCTCCATGCTTTCATTTAGCTAATGAAAACGGATGAGCGAAGTGACTTCAGCAAAATAACCTTTCAGTTAGTGACTTAGCTAGGACTTGAACCCAGGACTACCCCAACAAAATGTTTCACTCAATATAAAATGAGAGCTTCTTCGGCTCGAACCCTTTTAAGGGATCAATCATATTTGTAATTTTTATAATTTTGAAGGCTACTCACTAATTTAAATATTAGGAAGATAATACATTAAAGAAATAATGTTGTAAGCATAAATCTATTTAAATATGATAAAATATTTACATATAATACATAAGTACATGTGTAACCATATAGAAGTTAATAGTAGGAATGAATTCCAAAACTTTCATAATTGTCAAACTTGGTGTAAGATGTTATTGAGACTTGTTTTATCATTGTCATTTGTTTTGTTAGGTAAAGCACTCAAAGCATGTTTTTGACAAATACAGGATTCACCAAAAAGTCTATATATAGCCTTGCTTTTTTTATAGTAGTTTTAATCTAATTATACATCCTCCTAACTCTAACATACATCATGTGAAAAGATTATAAAATTGAACAGATATCACCTTAAATATCTATACAATTTTAGAACAGGAGTATATTTAAGAAACCAGGACTTTGATTTATAAGGAAAGTTGTGTATCACTATAAGGGAACATTTTTTGTGATATATAAGGTTTGTTATTTTTCACTAGTACTTGATGCATTTATAATTCTACTTACAACCTGGTCATGTTGACAATATATAATAAGCACATATTTAAGTATATTTGCCAATATATTAATATATTATCACCTAGTTTATGTGCTAGATAAAGGTTAGTACATAGACAAAAGCACCGTGAGCTAGATGCATGTTTGTCTTAAACTACACAGGTTTGAGTTGCTATTTTTCCATTTATTTTAGAGCTAGATTAAATGAACTCTTAAAGGCTCTTCCAGTTTTTCAGTTTTTTAAAAATGTGCCTTCCAGAGGGCATTTTATTAGAGCATGACACGGAATACAGCTAGGGATCTGTATATGAAATTGAGTTTAAAGCAAACACGCAGATAGGGTTCCCAAACAGTACATGATTTCATTGTTAGAATAGAATTGCATAGGCCCATTTACTTTGTTTTTATTGTTTTTAAAAAACATTTGAACAGTGTTACCTTTGTTCTATAGATGTCCGTAATTTTTCATTAAATATACCACCTGCTTTTATTTTTTCAAGTTCCCTTGTAGTATCTATATGTCTACATAGCTGTCATGTGGCCGAAATCATATATGACTGACTTTATAATCTCCTGTTTTAACATACCCGCCAGCATATATTATTTTATGTTGCTATATAATCTGTGTAGTTTTAATTTTGAAATTCCATAAATTTCTGTGGCGTTGCTATGAAAATGTATTTAACCCTGTTTCTCGCAATGTAGGACCTTATTAAAGACTTTTCTGTTGATATGGCCAAGATAAGATAACTATCACTTTCCCGTTATTAAAGATTTTGCAACATTGCATGATCAAGGATGGTTCTAAGCCTGTATCTGTGATGCTGCTAGTTAAAAAGGTGAAACATTCAATCAGCCGGTTGTCTCCTCTACAGAACACCTAACATAATTGGCTCTTTTTAAATTCTGGATTGCCCACCTCTGCATCACACACACCAATGATTTACCAAAGGAATTTACCATATACTGTTTACAGTATAATCTAAAAGAGCACTCTCCCATAGAACTTTCTGCAGTGATGGAAATGTTCATTATATCTACACTGTCTGGTATGGTGGCCACTAGTCATATGCGGCAATTGTGCATTTGAAATGGGCTAGTGTGACCGAGGAATTGAATGATTAACTTTAGGCAATTCAAATGTATTTTATTATTTTTTTTAATTTTTTAATTTTTTAAAAGATTCTATTGGGGAATTGTGGGAGGGAAACAGCGTTGGGGAATCAGGGAAGGGGAACAGACAAATTGCTGTCCTTTTTGTCCTTCAGTCCAGTTGTGGAAGATGTCACTTCACTGGCCCATGTTGGTATTATCATTGCGCTCTTCGCAGGGGAGGCAGTCGGTTGACAGCCACTGGACAGCAGCTCACGGTAGCTCACAGCAGCCCACTGCAGCAGGGGCTGCAGCCTACGCCATCACCGGCGTCTCAGGGCAGCCCAGCTCCAAGTCGAGCTGTTGTTCACCATCTTAGCTGTAGAGGGCGCAGCGTCACTGGCCCTAATGTGGGATCTGAACTGTGGCCCTGCTGCTCAGAGCTGGCGTCCCAAGCCAACTCTTAACCAACGCGCCATTCGGCCGGCCCTAGTTAATTCAAATTTAAATAGCCACATATGGCAGCACCACATATGACTAGTGGTTACCATATTGGTCTAGAAGACTGTAATATAACTCTAATGACCATATTTTCTGAACCCAAATTCAGGGCATGCATTCAAACAAATGGGACAATAAATATTTGTAAGATTGACTTGGTAGAATATTTGAAATTGGGCACATGCCATTTAGACATTAGATATGTAGGTGAAATACATGTGTAAACTGAATTCTATCTTTCCTTTCACTTAAACTAACATTACTTTAAATGATGACTTCTTTTTTTATTGTGGTAAATAAATATAACATAAAATTTACCATTTTAACCATTTTTGAGTGTATAGTTCAGTGGCATTAAGTACATTCACACTGTTATGCAGCCATCATCACCATCCATTTTCAGAAGAATAGTATCTTCCCAAACTGAAACTCTGTGTGCTTTCAACAGTACCTCCTTATTCCATAGCGCGCAGCCCTTGACATCCACCATCTACTTTCTGTCTCTAGGAATTTGACTACTCTAGGTACCTCTTAAGTGGAATCATACAGTGTTTATAGTTTTGTAATTGGCTTCTTTCACTTAGTGTAATGTGCCCATGATTCATCCATGTTGTAGCATGTGTCAGAATTTCCTTCCTTTTTAAGGCTGAATAATATTCCACTGTATACGTATACCACATTTTGTTTATCTGTGGGTCCATTTTGGGTTGTTTATACCTTTTGGCTATTGTGAGTAGTGCCGCTATAAACATTGGTGTACAAGTATCTGTTTAAATCCCTGCTTTCAATTCTTTCAGATATCTATACCCTTAAGTGGGATTGCTAGGTTATATGGTAAATCTGTATTTAAGTTTTTGAGCAACTGCCATGTCAAATAAGATTTTAGTATTTATTTTTCATGATCAGCATTTGTTAAAGATTATTTGAAACTTTGCTTTAAGTTTCTTTGACTTCCTTTTCTTCCCCACAACCCCAAGTAGTTAATTATTAGCAAATTATAACTTTGGAGAGTTTTTCACTCAGTACACCCTAATTTATTTTTATATTTTACATATATACATATATATATATATGTATTATAAAAGAATTACATTTTCTAAAAACATGGCCTATTATGTTCTAAATATGTTAGGTACTTGGTGTTCTTGAAAGAATATATCACTTCATTATTTAGTACTATTCGCTTGCTCTCTCTGTCTGCAGAGAAAAGACCCTGGCGGTGAAGGGTTAAGAAATCACAAGCTATTGATAGAAATATACATGATTAATTCACAAAAGCTTTCTGAATGTTATTAAAACAAATGTGATAATCTGTTATTATGGCCATTCCATATCATAGTGCTAATTCTTGTGGTACAGTGCTGTCTGATATAGTAGAATAAACAGAGACAGATGTGCAGATTTTATTCCTGGCCCTGATGCCTGCCTGTTGGGTGACATGGTCTTCCTGAGGCTGTTTCCTAATACACAGAATTGTATGAACATGCCCACCCCAGGAGGATGCCATGAGGTATCATGCATATCAAGTGCCTGCGTGCTGTCCATTCCGTTATAAGCACCCAGCAAGTGTTAGTTCCTTCCCTTATGTTATTTATAGTTAAACCCCTGGGTTAGGAAACACAAAAAGAATATGATCATATCTATGATTGTCTCATAGAAAGAATAAAATACTAACACTAGAGAAGTTATTAGAGACCATTTCTTAGAGGACACATGCAGAATTCATAGTAAAATGAGGCAAGGAGAAAACGGAAGACAAGACTAGGTCATTAATTTTTTTTTCAACAACCTTTTACCGAACCCAAATTATGTAATAAGGTTAAAGAGTTAAAGGCAAGTCCCTGCCCTCATCAGCTGAAGCTCATTGTCTAGTAGGGAAATACGGGTAAGTAAACAAACATAATCCAATGTAATAAGTTCAATGTAGGGATAAGTACACTGTATGTATGCACAAGCATAGAAGAAAGGCACTAGACCCAGACTGGCAGAATTCAGGCATGTTACTTCAAATTGAATTAGAGGCTGGGAATGGGAGGTGGGAGCGGTCGATTGAAGGATGAATAACAACACTGGGTAGAGTCACGAGCAAAGGAGATCTACCCAGAAGAAACTGCGCGGGCTTCCTACGTGTAGGTGATATAGATCATGGCTGTGGAATATGATGTGTGCGAAATGATCCGAAGGTGTAAGATGAGAGAACTAGAAGGCAGACCACAAACGGCCTTCAGTGCCATAAAAAAATCATTCTAACTGCATTATAAAGCAGCGAATTGAAGGCTGAAGGTCGGTGACATCCCCACATGTATGTTTTAGAACATGTCTGGAAGAAGACTGAACAGATAAGAACTGAAAAGCACCCGTTGGATTATTCTGAGTCATGGGTGATCGTAGAGAAAGTAGTTAAGACGGTCGAGGACTGTGCTGTGAATGGGAGATAAACAAGTAAACACAAGTGAGAAAAGGAAATAATTGAAGGGAGAATTTTTAACAGCTCTATGGAGATATAGCACACATATGATACAATTCACCTATTCAAAGTGTCCAGTACAATAGTTTTTAGTGTATTTGCAGTTTTACAAGTATCACCACAATCTAATTTTAAAACATTTTCTTCACCACATAC